TTTTTTTTAATTTTAATTTTATTTTACTTTGTATGTCTTTTTTCTCTTCATTTTCATGCATTGTCATCCAATTCTGAACTATGTGCCAAATTTGAAGTTAGTAGCTAGTCGGGAAGTTAGTTTAAAATCTATTACAAAATTCCACCCGGACAGACATACACGAAGGCAAGTTTATATAAACGTGGTAAGAATAAAAAACTTGCAAGCAGTGCAAAAGATTGGGAAATGTGTATAATTGTACGCTTTTTTTTAAAAGTAAAAATACTTTTCAACACAGCGTTATGACTTTTGATAAAAATTGATTCGTTTTGCAATAATTTACTCAATTTATCTTTATGAATAAATATTTCCAAATTTTTATGTAGGTAACTTATTTAACTTGATCGATTAACTTTTTACAATGATGTATCCATTTCTTCTGTAAAGAAAAACAGAAACTGATGGTCATTGCTAAACAAACAAACAAAAAACTAATGCTTGTTACTTGTTTATATTTTTATTAAAAAATTCTTATAAAAATAAGTTCTTAAATAAATAGAAACGCACGAACATTTAGTTTAAACTTTGACTATGAAATTTTTTTAACAATATGTAAATTTTTATTATTAATGGATTTCTTATGGCATTTACTTAATTAATTAAAAAAATTCGAAAAAAAATATGTAAACGCAAACAACTAACTCCTTAGATTTTATAACTCAATTTAAGCATCAAGTTCGTTTTTAGTATTGTAAATGAACAAACAGCAATAACTAAATTTCAGAAATTGAATTCTGTCATGAATAATTATTTTGAAAGAGAATTTCCATCGAATGCTGTGCTGCTCACAAAAAGTGATTTTGCTTTAAAAAAATATTTTTAATAAAAAATGGGGTAGTTCAAAATGCGATAGTATTATATTATTGTTTATTTATTGTTTTTCCTTAAACTAGAATTTTATTCATAGTGTTTTGTTTGTAAGATATTAAATATCGCGTTTTATTTCATTTGCATGAAATTCTGCCTCATTGTGTGTGCGAGATTGCCCCATAATAATTTGTTTGATCGAGATTCTACCTCAAGGTAGAACAAGATTCTGCCTCAAGGTAGTTAGAAAGAGATTATGTCCCATTATATTTTGTATGAGTGAGATTCTGTCACGTGGTATATTGCTTTGTTCTGCTCAATGATATTTTGTTGAGTGATTGATCTGAAAATTTAGTTTTTCAGTAAGTAGCCAGTGACCAGTAGACTCTGATAACTTATTAGCCACCTTTCCCTCAAACTTTATGATTCAGTGATTGATATTGATGATCCTTTTCATTTAATAGCCACTTTTTGTCAACTTTTTCTTCTGCTTGCATTAAATTTTATTTAAAAAAAATTAATATTAGAAATAATCTACGGCTATAAAAAGTAACTTCAAGAATAAACATTTTATAAATATAAGCTGAAATTTAGCGAAACATACTGACGGAATTTTAAAATTATTTGGGAAGGTAAAATGCATTAAATGTATGCATTACAACTTCTAGTAAATATGTGAATTGTTAAAGAACTCTCTTTCCACATGTATCTTTTTACCACAAATTAATGGATTCTGAAGGATCAAAATTTTGAATTGCGACATTGAACAGCCTGATGAAAATTGTGTTTGCCAGTTACTTTCTGCTGTACTTTTATCATTAAACGATTTTTTTAAAAAAAGTAGATGGTTGTTTATTAAATTTAAGTCGGCAGCTTTTACTTGTTCACTCTCCGCGTGGTGGATGGCGAGTGATTATTTTCAGGTCTATTGAGTGATCTCCACGATATTTTGACTCAATAAGTTTTTCCTTTTTTTATGTTTTGAGTAATGATAATTTTTAAAAAAATATACGCTAGTAATATTATTTAAACATTTTGCGAGGGCAGTATCGTTGAAACGCAATCGTTGAGTAACACAATATCACATGCTTACGCATACATATCCCTCTTCACTCTGAATTGGAGCATAGGGCTTCCATCATAGATTTCCATCACTCTCTATTTGTAGCCAGGTATTGCCTCTCTTCACGCCTTTTCTATTGTTTACAATTCGTTTACAGTCGTTCTGCTCCAAGTATTTTTAGGACTTCCTTTTTTTCTATTTCCCAAAGGATTCCAATCGAAAAACACGTTTTACCTTAAATTTTTTAAGTTTACGTAGAATATGACCACTCCATTTTCATTTACGTTTTTTTTTAATTTCTAGATCAATTCCTTTCTGCTTTGCTTTTCTAAAGATTTCTGCTTTACAAATTTTATGGAACCACTTGATACGTAAGATTCTTCTTAAACAGATGTTAATAAACACTTGAAGCTTTTCATGTTATTTTTTTATCGCAGTACCATGTCTTAAATCCATATATTAAGACAGACTTAACATTAGCATTGAGAATTCTAACTTTTGGTTGATTGGTTCTAATGCCACTCGAAACACGGGCAAGCCTGCTTGGTGAAACCGAGCAGATTTAAGGCAGTGTGTCCGTTTCTTGTTTTTCAGTAGCGCCATCTATGGCCAAGAATACGACTTCTGCCACACCAAACATCACACCCGTTTTATAGGGCGGACCCATTCATACATCCATTCATTCCTCCACAGATCGTAATTTTGACCTGAATCAGAGAACGATCGATCTTCAATGTTAGAATTCGTTATGTTTTTTTTTATTTTTTATAATTTATAACATAACTACTTAAAACACTATCACAGATTATCTAAAGAACACTGTATTGAAATGCCAATGCACTGACAAGTTTCATCAAAATTTGTAGGTTTGAAAGAGCGGTCAAGCATTTAAATCATTTGCCCAACAGTCCGTTGATGAAGGCAATGGCCACTTGTCATTCTCTTTCGAAGGTTAATGGAAAACTTCTTGGCCATACAGTGGATGTTAAAATATTTGAAGCAATAGGGTGGGTGAGTATCTAATATTATTTAATGCAAAGTATTAAATGATTTTAATGTGAACTACTAATTGATAACTAGAAATTTGGTTTATTTAAAGAAATATTGCAGTATGATTGTGTCAAGGAGAAAGATTTTATTCCACTCATAAACATAGTACTTTAGTTTTATAATATTAAACATAGCCCAAAACAAAAAGTGAAGGAATAATAACTTTAGAAGTGAATAGTCTTATTAGAATTAAGTAGCGATGAAAAGGAGTTTTATAGAAAATTAGAAAAAATCGGATTCTTTGACAAAAAAGTTGGTTCACAAAAGTTATACTTGCCATAATTGTTTGGAGTAACAAAGAAAAAAACCATGAAAACGGGAATATACTAGCAAAGCAACTCTCCATTTTTAATAAGAAACATGTTTCAAAATAATCTCGCATTGCAAAACGTTTTAAAAATCGCAAATTGTTCACTTTTATATTTGAAACACTTTAGCTTACAACTTTGCATGTTTCGGTCAAAAGAATTTTGCTTTATAATATTTCTTACCATAACTTATAATATAGCATGTCTGGATATTTTCAAACACTGCATGTGTAAATGTATATGGGCATTGTATATGTAAATAATGTATATCTGTAAATCACATTTTGGAAGTTATGATGTACTTTTTTTTCTCAGTGTATGAAGATATACTTACTCATTCAGTAATTATTGATCAAAATCATCATAAGATTGTAAATATTCCTCAAAAATATACATAATTGTGTTTTCTCTTGGTATATGGACATCAATTATAACCATGTTAAATTTGAAACTTGAATAAACTAGCAGTCACTGAAAATTTTAATTGGCAATATAATAGCTACTTATGTGGATTATTTTTTTTTTCATTTTAGGATTTGGAAGAACCTGATTTTGGTGATCAAGTACCGTTTGAAAGAGTGCCACCTCGAATAGTTTATCCTCAACCTACCGAAACTTCACCATATCAGGTAAAATGTAGACGTTTCCATCAAAATTTGAATGCACTCTTATGTACTTAACATTACTCACCAATTCAACTTAAATTTAGCAAGTTAAAAGATTTTAAGGATAGAAAATAATAAGTGATAGAAACATTAAATATTTCTAGGCGACTATATAAGGTACAGACTTGGTAAACTGAAGTTATTACCCCAAATACGGTGACTATTTATTTTCTTATTTAAGTCCAAAAAAAAAAATTCTGCAAGCGATTACAAACACATATTAGTAATAGCTACGAAGTGTTCGTTTTCCTGAGCAAACCAGAAAATTTCTTCACGTCATATGCTTCAAATATTATAACAAATATTTACATAATTCTGAAAATAATAATGCTGTTAGCTGAGAAGGCAATAAACAATGTTTAAAAAAAGATTAACCTTCACAGTCACAGCGTGTGGAGACAAACTGACAGAAGTCTGGGAAGATAGTTTATTTGTGACTAAATAGAAAACATTTTTTTATTATTACTCCGGTCTCTTAGCAAAGTTTGTAATTAATTTTAAAACTTGGCGAAATAAAATTTTGTTTCCTAAGCAGAATATAGCAAACAGTAAATTTTATCTTCCTTCATTTTTTTAATTGATTTAACAGGGGATTACTTTACTATCTGCGTTGTTAATTTACCAATGATTTCAAAACAGACAATTATACTATTTTCTCATGTCTAGCCAGCTTCTGCAATTGCCGTCGTGAGACAGTTTCCCTTTGAATCTCTACTTCGCAGAATGTCCGTGGTAGCCAAATCTCAAGGTAGTAGGCACTTTGAAGTGTACTTGAAGGGAGCTCCAGAATTGGTCAGCTCTTTGAGCAAACCTGAAACAGGTATGTAATCGATTTATGTTGTAGTTTCTTGAATTTGTTGAGCTAGCGTAACTATTGTTTATTGTAACTATTGTTAGATCATCACTTTGTTTATTTTTTTAAATGGTCTGATTGCATTCAATTTTTTTTCTAAACATTGGATCTAGTTTCATTCTTAAATTCAATTCAAATTATTCATTTTTATGGCTATTTTTTCAGTTCCGGATAACTTTAAAGAAGTTTTGGAGTTCTACACAAGACAAGGATTCAGAGTGCTGGGCATAGGAAACAAAGTATTGCCGGATGACTTCGTGTGGGATGACGTATTGAGGTTACCAAGGTAACAATTTCTACCGAAAAATAGTTTTAAAATTGTTTAGTAAGAAATACTTATGAATCTTTTGAATCATAGAATAAAAAACCAAGTTGCATTTTAATTTAAGCAAAGATATTTTACGTACATGTTATGGCAAAAACCCGAAGTCTGGTAAATCTTAAATTTTACCTGCAATACTCAGCTTTCATCAAAGTGGTTTGATGAAAGTTCGAAACATGCTTTAATATGATTCCATTTCAGCGTTTTACCTTTCAAGTTAAGACTAGGATTTACCAAGTCGGTAAAACCTAGAAAACCATCTGAATTCGAGCTTTTACAGTAACATAACATAATATAAAAGAACATTAAGTATTTTAAGAATCCAATGGTTCGATTCAAATCCCAAGAATGAACTTGGAAAGAAGTACTAAAAGATTATTAGATGGAAAAGCACGAGGATCAATATCTGGATTAAGACTAATAAATAGATGGAAATAGCACATAAAAGAAAATTTAAAATTACCAACTACAAGAAAAAAGGGAGCTAACTGAAAATAATGGTAAAATATTCTGAAAAAGTCCAGGTTCTGCAAGAGATTGCCTGACTTGATGATGATTGTGATTTTAGAACAATCTAACAATAGCAAAAAGTGTAATAATGTAAAAAGAATTAATACAATATTTACTGATAAAAATATTTAGTTGAACTTATTTAATACAAAACTGATGCAGTTAAAATATATTTCATTGTTTTAGAGAAGAGTTAGAATGTGACATGCAGTTTCAAGGTCTAATTGTCTTACAAAACAGATTGAAACCTGAAACCGTTCCAACTTTGAATGTATTAAAAGCTGCTGACATAAGAACTATCATGGTGACAGGTACACTACATTTTTTTAGTATATTTCAATAAATAAACAACAATATAAGATCAGTGCAAATTTCAACAAATCAAAATTTTTAAAATATGTTTCATACAATAAAAGTAATTTGCATTATCCTTCTTTTTTAAATGATTTGAATTTTTGAAATAGTTTATCGAATGCTATATCCTATTTCCTTATGTTATTCCAATATTTTTGCAGTTCATGTTTGACCTGAACAATATTGTTACTATGAACAATATTGTTACTTGAATATTCAGTTATAGGCTCAAAGAGGGTGGTAGCAAGGTTTTAAGTCCTGTAGAATCTAATACCCACTAATCTGACAATCATGAAATCAAAATTTCGAATAGCATGGTGACATGAAAAAATGCCACGGAATACGATAAAAAAGTGCGTGAATGTTTCGGTAAAGAAAGCTAAGAAATTCATGCATTGGCTATGAATCGTGATGCCGAGGTCTGTTTACCTTCCAAATTATTGAAAGAAAATGTGTTGCAGATAATGAATGTGAAATGTGTTGGAGGTGAAGAAATAATGAAAAATGACTATAGCTAATGAATAAATATAGCAATGAATAAAACATCGCAATAAATATATGCTAAGGAATAAGTGCAGCAATTATACAACTGTTCCACAAATTTTATGCAAAATAATTAACACATATGTAAGGAGAATCTTTAAAAATAGATTGATTTCCACTCGCTTTAAAAAAAATTTAATAAAAAGATGTTAATGATTTACTTTAATTGAGAAAAAGATTAAATGAGATAACAATTCAGTTTTTAAATCATGAAAAATATGTGACGCTGATTTTAGCTAGACAATCTGGTAGTTTTAATATTTTAAAACACGCTTCTTTCGCTATTAGATAGTGATTTCAATAACATACCTCGTTATATATATATATATTCTAACAATAGCAAAAAGTGTAATAATGTAAAAAGAATTAATACAATATTTACTGATAAAAATATTTAGTTGAACTTATTTAATACAAAACTGATGCAGTTAAAATATATTTCATTGTTTTAGAGAAGAGTTAGAATGTGACATGCAGTTTCAAGGTCTAATTGTCTTACAAAACAGATTGAAACCTGAAACCGTTCCAACTTTGAATGTATTAAAAGCTGCTGACATAAGAACTATCATGGTGACAGGTACACTACATTTTTTTAGTATATTTCAATAAATAAACAACAATATAAGATCAGTGCAAATTTCAACAAATCAAAATTTTTAAAATATGTTTCATACAATAAAAGTAATTTGCATTATCCTTCTTTTTTAAATGATTTGAATTNAGCAGAGCAGGCTTATCTGTCAATCTCATGACCGGCAGAACTGGAGTTCGAGTCCTAGTGTTGACACCACAATATTTCCTCCATTCCCTTCAACAAATGAAGAGTTTCCAGTGTCCGGCACTCTCCAATGCCCATTACCTTATCGAAAAGTCGAGCTTCTATGTCTAATTAAATAATAATTTTTTTTTGCGTTTTTGAAAAATTTTAGTTGTCAATGGTTAAAAAACCGTATAGTTTTGTATTCATGGTTTTATAACCATACTTTTTGCAAATGGTTTCAAAACCATAAAGGAAAAAAAGGTTCTTTCCCAGCAAGCTTTACGGTTAATCAGATGGTCAGACAGCTGCTAGTTATTTTACCATAATTTTAGGATGAAAATTTTAACAGTGTGTTATAATATTTTACAGGAGATAATCTTTTGACGGCTATCACTGTTGCTAGAGATTGTGGAATGATTGAAGAATATGATTCCGTCATATCCGTTCAAGCAAGTATCGTTGGAACAGAATCTTCAAAAATGGATGACAAACCACGCCTTCAGATCCACTATAACTATGCTAAACTTCCAGGATTCAGTGAAAAGCTCAACATGGTTCAAAATGGTATGATTGATGTAAGTAGCGGATGATTAGTTCGTTAAAGTAATTTATTTCAAAGATATAAAAGATAATATTATGGATGGATATAATATATAAATGTGTTTGAAATTGTACACTTTGAGCAATTTGCTTTACGTATATATCTTAGACGATACCCACAACCTAATTTATCCTTTAGTGCCTAAAAATATAATATAAAAATTTTAGATCTCTTCATATATTTTTAAAGGAAAAGAGAACTATCGTATGTGAATTACTAAAATCATTTTTTCAGGATATTTGCGCTCCTACAATCGAGAATTCAAATTACCACTTAGCGATGGAAGGGACAACATTTAATTTGATAAGGCTTCACAACACCCAGTTACTTGATAAAGTAAGTGTATGCATATTATAAATATTAAAAGTTTTTAAATGATGCTTTTAATAAAGGTATTTTCATAAATCTCGTTTAATAATTATAACAAACCTCAAAAAATTTTCTACTAGTAAATATATCGTTTTTCTGTTAATTTTAAGAATTCTTAAGAAACTAGAAATTCAGAAATTATATTCGTACTGATATTTTGGAAATTTATCAATCTAAAAATGAATCGATTGTATAAATATGATTTTATATAATTTTTTAGAAATTATTTTCAGTTTTACTAGGATTGAGTAAGAAAATATTTTGCAGTTGTTCAAATGTAATTCAGATAATTCTAAATAGCAAATATATTTTATTTGCGTTTATTTATGAATACTAGATAAATCATTAATAAGAAGCGTGATGTTAATTTTAAAAATTCAAGATTAAAAATGCAGTTTAAAAAAAATTGGAAAACTTTAGAAAATTTAAAATTATGCTCGTTCTGAGATTTTTAACTGTTCAAAAAATAAAAATATTGTTTAAAATAATTTCTTTTATGTTAATTTGTGAGCTAAGTAAGTTTTCTGAGTATTCTCCTTCCTTTTGTCCACAATAAGTTCTTTAATATATAAAAATTTACTTTTCATAAAATATTAAAATTTATTCGCAGATTTTATCTTACTACTTTCTGCTAAAGAATGACTGAATAAATGTTGTTTTTATGCTTAGTGATATACCATTTTGAAGCGGTTTGTCACGCATTAATTGAAAAATTTTCGAACCATATAAAAAAAAAATGCACTGTTGGAATTTCCATTCTAAAATTATGGGGAAATAACCGGCAGCAGTCTGTCCATCCAATTAACCGTGAAGTTTACGGTAACATAATTTTTTTTACAAGTACGGTTTTGAAACCGTAAAAATTATGAATTCAAAACTATACGGTTTCTTAACCATTTACAACTAGGACGGTTCGAAAACAGTAAGAAAAAAGGAATTTGATTGGATGTAGGAGGTAGCCTTTTTGTTACGTAATGGTCATTTGGGAGAGCAGGACACTAGAAACTCTTCATGTATTGAATGGAGGAAATATCGTCGTGTTAACGATGGAACTCGAAGATCAATTCTGTCGTTCCCTCTCGACTATAATATGTATGCAGTTGCAAAGAGCTAAGTGGATTCACTTAGTGAGCTTAGTTGGTGCGATAAGGTTCTGGTTATTTAACCGTATTAGGTGAAAGTAGTTAATAAACGGTTTTTCTCACAGTTAACAGTTTGATTACCATGTTATTTATGGTTATTTGACTATTTCCTTTGAACATGGTAAAATAACAATTAAATGTTATTTAACCATTTTTTCGAGAAATTTCTAACAGTGTACTATTCAAAATTGATTATTCAGAAGTATCTTTTTCTCACTATTAATCTTTCATAGTTAGGCCAAATTTGCATAAATGTGTTCTGTGCAATAATATTTAATTTCTTGTTCAGATAGAATAGTTCTCAAAATGCTAGTGCTAAGTTTACAAAATGGCAAATGACTTATTCCATCCGGTTTTTATAAATAATTTTAAAGGAAGGAATGCTGTTTAAAATCGATTCATTTATAAATACCTCTATTTCTCACTAAAAATACTATGAAACTATTTTGACTAAAATCATTCATAATTAGGTCCAATCTTCACCATTGAAGCCTTTTGTGTAAGTTATAGATAAGTGCTGTATTGATAAATGTAATGATTTTTTATAATAAAATACAGATTTTAAAATCCTTTAGATGGTCTTAAAAGGAACAATATTTGCCCGAATGTTACCAGAACATAAACTTTACCTCATAGAGACTCTTCAGAATTTGGGGTAAGTAAATTTAAGTTGTCTAAAAAATGAGCATGTTTTTTTAAATATGATTAATTTCAATATTTATTTCAGTAATTTCAAACCCCATTTCAATTTTCTGCTTTTGAATATTAGTATTGTTACAGGACGTAGTTCTTACTAATATTACGTATTGAGAAGTATAAAATCTTCTATTTAACTTCTACTTTTTGTTAAAATTTTGTGCCTTTAATAGGCACCAAGTAGGAATGTGTGGAGATGGAGCTAATGACTGTGGAGCTTTAAAAACAGCACATGCTGGAGTGTCATTGTCAGTGGCTGAGGCTTCAGTTGCTTCTCCATTCACATCAACACAACAAAATATTCAGTGCATCCCAATGGTTATCAGGTAATAATTTTATCGAAATATTATGTCTTAAAAACGTTAAATTCGTTATTAAATCAGCGTTTTTCAGTTTAGTTATTTAAATCAGATGTAATTATGTAAACGCTTGTGCTGTGACTTTTTCTTCCATAAATTTGTATTCGACCATTTAATTCAAATAAAAAGTACCCTACTCTAAATGGTCTTTTTAAAATAGGGAAAGGCTGGATGGAACTAGGTATTTAGTTTAAAATATGCTTTAAAAATGCTAGTAGTTCATTAAAAAGAGCTTCAAATGTTTCTATGAAGGTTTTATACTTCAATTTTTTTAAATATGCAATGATATTATAAGAAAACAAAAAATCAGTATTTTTTTATTCAAAAAAGAAAACTATGTCCATATCAAGTACCCCGTTTTGCCCAGATATGATGTGAAACAAAGTGGTAAAGAGAATTAATTAAAATAAAAACATATAAAACTAAAGGAAATGCAGAAAAAGAATTTTTTTACCCTATATTTATGCAGTTTTCAATTTTAGAAAGTTTAAATTTTGGAAAATATTTGAACCTTTTTTTTTCAATATCTACCTGGAGAATGAACTTTCGTTATACATTCTTCTGATTGGCGGATTTGATGGCCACTCTTTCAGGGGCACCATTTAAAGTGGGTCGACGTTGCTCCCACAGTAATGACTAATATTACAGAGAATGAAAGAACATCCATACTTTGCCCAGGATTTGAACCCAGAGCATTTCTGATGCAAGGCCAGTTCCCTAACCCATATACAGACCGGTCGTTAAATATTTGAAACTTAAGTTTTTTAATTTGAACTATACCTTTACCTACATGTTATGGTGCAATTTTTGTATATATTCGACAAGAAAGATTAGTGATCTCCTACAATCTATTTGCTTATTTACTCTATGAGCTTTCAAATATTGATTTAGTCACTCAGTGCAAGAGCCACTTAAGCTTCAACACATAATGATGTTACGTCTTTTTAAATAAAAAAGTTATTCAAGACTCATTTAATCTTTTTTATCATAGAAATAAATATGTGTTTTTTTTTATCTTCAGGGAAGGTAGAGCTACTCTTTCTGCCACATTTGGAGCTTTCCGTTACATGACGTGTTACTGTTTTGTATTACTTGCTGCAGTTCTGATAATGTTTTGGGTATATAATTACATTTAACTCAATAATTGAATTTAACTTTTAAAGAAAAACTTTTTAAATTATTTGCAAACTTTAATGCTCTCGATATATTTTTAGGATGGTCAAAAACCCTCTGATGGAGGTTATGTGGTTATAGATATAGTTCTCAACCTATTACCACCCATTCTTTGTAAGTATAAATTTGAAAAAGTTTGTGAAAATATTTTAATAAGCAAATAAATCTTGCAAAAAATGCTGCAAGTTTTAGTGAGATATTTTTAATGTAAGAAAATTTAAGTACTTAAATATGATAGCTAAGCAGCGAACGTATATTCTATTTCTTAATTTATTCTAAAAATATATATTAGAGGCGATGAAAACAGAAAACTCTACATAATTTTATTAATGTCATAAATACCATGAATGAATTAATGTTTTTTTTTCAGTCGGAAGTACGGAAGCTTTCCCCGGACTGGTTAAAAGAGCACCAACTCGAAGCATAATTAGTTTCTTACCTCAGTTTTCAATGTTTTCATTCATGATCATTCAGATTGGAGTGTATGTTTTGGCCTATGAATACTGCTTAATGCAACCATGGTAAGAGAATTTACTACTTAGAATGAGCATCATATTTGTTCTAACACGTTATCACTAGACACAAATGAGTCAAGAAGCATAAAAAAACTTGAATATTTGCTAATGCTTATAATGTTAATAAAAATTAAGCTAAGGAAAAATAACGTGCTAAGTTGAAATCTTTATTATTTGTGGAGCCGGTGAAGGTTTACTTTTTAATGTTTAGCAGAATGGCACAAAATTTGGATGTGGATACATGCATCACCTATCTCAATTTGAAAAAGGAAACCTGAAATTTCAGCAATTAAGTCCCACTAGTAGAAAGATAAAAAATTTCCTTATCCATTTGTTAAGTTGAACTTCATTTAAATGGACATATTAATAATTTCAATAATATAATATAAGGATTATGCAAAGTAGTGCAATAATTTGATTAGATTAAATTGCCAGTTGATTGTCGCAAAATCAAGGTAAAACACTTAGAAATCAATACATCAAAATTAAACGATGATAGAAACTATATATGATCCGAAATCAAATGGAAAAGCAAAAAAATGAAGAGACTATAAGGACATCTGGTGATTTCTAAAAAGTGCAAAAGCATGATTAATCAGTGGTTACTCTGATTCTTAGAAGCGCAATATGTTCCATGAATAAGTTTCTAAGTTCCAGACAAAGGAATAAATTCTCTAGGTTACTGCTTTTACCAAGTGAAAATACACCATCCCTAGCATGATCAAGTATCTTTTCTCACATATAGACTTGAACTGCATGAGTTGGCATGAAAAGTTAACGCATGTGATAGTGCCCTATATACAGTAGGGATAGCAGCGATATCTTCAAAGATATAAATTAACCTTAGAGAAAGCAACGCAGATTTCGTATTCATAATCAACCATTTCGCATGAAATCATTTAAAATAAATTTTAACTTGTGATAAGATGTTTACGCCTAGAATAGAACAATGTGGGGTAATATGATTTTTGGCAGCAAAACGTGAACGCAATACAGGCATATATCGTCGAGCGTACAAAGATAATGGCGAATGCTGTCTGGGATAAGCGGCTGCGAACAAATGGTGTAAAAGTTTCGCGTGGACATATAGTCTGCTTTTCACTGGAACTACTCAACACACTAGACTCGAGCGTTGGTGATTACGGTGTTGACAAAAAATAGTCACTTTGGATAGGAGCGTGGGTTAACGCATCGGGTTAGTTAACGTAGGGAGAGTTATGCCATTTCCGCAATTCTTCCGTATTTGAAATAGTTTTGCTCTTGTTTCCATAGCAGTAGACAACCTCAGACCTTTTGTGATAATTGAACAGTATCATTACCGGATGTGCTAAAACCCTTAGTAAGCAAACGCCATGAATTTTTCATGCATCCATTTCCGAATTGGATGAAATCAGTTAAACGAATAGTTACGACTTGAAATATCCGCGCAAAACTTTGTTTGACATAAGTGAAAGAATGAAGCAATCACCTTATGCCACTAAAAGGTGGATGATTTTATTCTATTTCATTATGGATGCATCAGCTTGATTTTACATCACCTTTAATTGTTTCTCGCATGAATTTCTTAGTAAGCAGTATGAAATTCATTCCTCTTACCTTCGTCACAACCTTAAAAAATGGCATTGATATTGCTATAGCACTTCTGATTCTATCACACATGCCCGCCATTTATTTGAATAACCAATACATATTGTATTTAAATACTGAGGTTGGAATATTGATTTTACATAAATGTTATGTTTTAGGTATGAACCATTTGTGTACAACAAAACGATGACCCACACTCCTGCAGCTTCCCATTCTGGTACGGCTATCCTTTCGGTCAATATGATGTCATATGTCATTGCTGCAGTTATTTTTGCACCAGGACCACCATACAGGAAGAATTTCACCTCAAACAGTATGGATTTTCAAGATTTAAATTATAATGATTTTAATAATAAATAAATAATAATGATTGTAACAATAAAAATGAATAAAATTTTGAAACTGGAAAATGCCACAAGCGACTTTGAACTTTGTTAAAGTAAATTTTAAAAAATAAATTGAACAAAAATGCTTTTTTCAAGAACTAATTTTTTTTTTTTTAAAAGTATGCATGAGAAATTATTTTTCCTAGTGATTCAAAATGTAAGCAAGTGCAACAATTTTGATTGGCTCTATCTTTAGGGGGAAATGATAATTCCGTCTTTAAAAATGTTTAATTTTTCAATATTCAGCTGAGAAAATAAATTTTATGACACTGCCATGTTATGACTTACAAGAAATAATAAAATTCTTATGCTAGAAATCCTTGGATAAAACCCATTTTTATTTTTTTCTTCAATTGACATCTGTGTTTATCTTTAAAAAAGAAACTACGTCACAATAGACAAATATTTATCATGACAATTTTATAATATATATTGAATCAAAATGGAAACGTATAAAGAAGTAAAAAATAATTAACAACTCTAAACTGAATACATGAAAACGCACTTTATTGCTAGAAAAATTGTTAGCTATTATTTTTAGCTATTATTGAAGCTAACAAGTTGAGTATTATAAACATATCAAAGTTTCATAAGACAAGGAGTTTTTATGTTTTCTTTATTAGTGATTCATCAGATTTTTATAGTGCTCTTCTTTTGCTAACTTGAATATTTATTTGCGACTCCTATTAAACATAGTTATTTGAATTCATTTCATTCATAAATATTAAAATATATATAAATATTAATATATATATAATAATGTATATAAATGTTTAAAAATGTATATAAAAAAGCAATCGTTACAAAATCATTCCTGATATAACTACAACTTCAAAAATATGTTTGAAATACTTTTCAATTGCTTAATGAAAATTTCTTATTCTAATTTATTAAAATATTTTCTTTACAGAAACGTATCTCGTAGTTGTGTTTGCAGAGTTTTTATTAGTTACATACTTCACTATTTATCCAGCCGATTCTGTTGCAAGGTTTATAAATGTAAATACATTTACTCCTCTACTTATTAGTTTTATTTTTTAATCATAATTTTCAATTGTTTTTTTAATCTTCATAAAATTTGTATACATTCTTAAAAAAGAAATTTTGAATTAGAAAGATTTATCTAAAAAGAAAGAAAAACTTTTAAAAACATTTTTAAACCATACTTTTGTTTGAACAGAGTAGAAATTCAATAAAGTAAAAAAGGTAAAAAGAAGCAGGATTATATTTATAGTTAGATAATGCATCACAATAATTTATTGGAGTTTGATAGTAATTACTAATGTAATTAATTTTGCTAATGCTGTTTCGAAAAATTGAAATTAACATAATGAGAAAAATAAGATGCAGTATGAAGCAGTGTTTTCTTATTTTTGATAAATTAAGCAAATATACATTTTGCTATAGGTGAAGTTTAAGCAAAATTTATTTTTTCTATTTAATGTACACCTTGTATAAGTAATAACTTAAAAAAATGGAGATGTTTTTATTGTTAAAAAACTTATCTGGCTCCCACATTATGTTTTATAAAATTTTCAATTAAAAAGGAATTGATATTTATATTAAACGTCTTGCATTGAAGAAGCAATAAATTAATTATAAAATGTCTAAATTAACAATTTGTCTTGCTTTGAAGAAGTAATAAATTAATTACAAAATGACGATTTTACAAAATGTCTAAATTATATTAGAAATTTTTTTATTTCCAGATTCTCCTAATAATAAGAATTTTTCTTTATTAAGTTGGGGATGTTTTGATTATTTTAAAACATATATTGCATATCAAATTTTATAAAATTTACATCTTGTACTATCTTACTTTAATTTATAATATGAGGCCATAAAGCGATTTCTCTTATGAAATAATTCAGCTTTTGCTGAAAGTTCATTTACCTTTTAAAATTTTTAAATATTAATTTTATTTAACATTCGTGTCATATTTTAGATATCGTACATACTTTATATTGTACATACTTTACATCGTGTCATACTTTATATCGTACTATCTTCGTTTAGAACAAAATTTAAATCGATTGAAATACAGCTCATTATGATGGTAATGTATGTTTTGTTTTATTTTAGCTTAAACATGCACCATTTATTGAATTTCATTTATTGCTGTATGTGTTGTCTCTGGCAAACTTTATTATTTCATATATTTGGGAGGTAAGAACCATCTTTTCTATATTCGCAATTTCTCTACTCTCAAATTATCTATTTTTATCTTCTAAATGAAGTTATTATAAACTTTATTGAAAAAATCACAGCTAAATACCATAAATAGCGGCTAAATACCGTAAACGTAATAAATTATATATTTAAACACTCACATTTATAAACGTGGATCAATCAAGTCTCAATTCCGAAGTTTTAGAATTAGGAAAAAAATTATTAAACATAAAATTCCCTTCGCGTCTGGATTTTAAAATACTTAAAGATAAATGTTGTATGCACCCTAAAAAATCTCACTTCTATATTTCGGTCAGTGACCGATAAAAAACATGTTTTAGACACTGACCATGATTATAAATACTCGCAAAGCTAACATGATCTTAAAAACAAAGATCTGTGAGAAAATTTTTTTGCTCGTAAAATATATGGGTATCTTTAATTTGGGCCTTGATGTTTAAGATTCAGGTGATTTGTAAATGGAAATGAACCTTGAAACAAAGCCATCTGTCGAAGAGTTAAACAACGTGGCATAATTTGAGAGAGATGCTGTTTGGTGATGGTTGTGCTCGAACCAGGGAATTCTAACAGCCAGGATATCTATACAACCTTGTGTCCGTGCCTTTCTGTAACCGTCATAAAAATGAGTGTACACCCTTCAATTGAGTTAGAAGCTTTATATCTTAACCAAATAAATTAACGATGAACTCTACTAATTTTACTGAAGTTTTACAGGCACTCCAGTTATATTTTTGAAAGAAGAGAGGTGTATGTTTAAATTAACGATCAACTCTACTAATTTAGTTGAAATTCTCTAGAATAATGTGTACCGAGCGTTTTTCTCGGAGAAAGAGCCGAGAGTATAAAATAACGGCCGATTCTCCAAAATTAACGGAAATTTCTTAATGTATCAATTAAACGTGTCAAATAGTTGTATGGATTGATTTCAACTTTATAACGTTAATACTATTTATTTTTGTTTATACTGTTCTCTTGTTCTTCAATTGCACGATTAGAATTATTTATTCATTTGTTTACTTTACCTAAAAAGAGTATTTCTGTTTCTGATTTAGATTTATATATTTTTATAGATACAGATTATAGAAAATAAATTTAATGTTAAAAATCCCTTTAAAATAAAAGGCTTGCAACGTTTTAATTACCTATAATTTAATTACCCTGCAAATAAGTGCGCAGAAGGATCTTTACAAAAATTCTAATTTGTTTTGAGTAATGTAGTGAAGTAAAGCGCTCTCCTAAACAGCCTTTTCTCGGTCAAAGGGGTCATGGAGGGCCAAGAAGTCATGATAGACCAATGGCCAAGGTAGACCAATGGCGTAATGACGCCGATGTGAGTGAGCTAATGGTGTTCCCGCGGCCTATACTTTCCAGACCATCCGGTACCCTTAAACCTGAATCTGGGTTTGCCTCAAGCCGCAAAGGGGTTAGAATAGTAATCTTTCACAATCACAGCTCAGTGATTTAACCACTGTTCCACTATGACTTTACCACTGGGGTTACGTCATTAAGTAGTTAAAAAGAAAATGTAGAATTGAATAGCAGATTTTTTCAAATAGCAAATTCACCGTGATAGCAATATTTGTCCCATATCAGAAGGTGAATAGAAGGTCCCTCGAAAGAACAGGAAGTGCAAAGCATGAAGGAGGAGGAAAACCGCTGTCTATATAAATTGGCTTGAGTTTTGGCTAGGCAAATTTAAAACTCCAGATATTCGAAATTATACTCATGTAATAAGGTCAGCTGTACACAGGTAGCATTAATGACTAATTGTAAAAGCAAATGAAGCAATGACATTAATTTCAGCAGTACTCTTTTCTTTAAAAGGTACTTATCCCTAAAAGGCTGCCGAAAAAAATTGCCGCACTATACAAGTATCAATTAATGTAATAGGTATACCTGTATAGGTATACACAATATGTGTGCTGTGGTAATAAGTTTCTATGGCTTCCTAAACGGGTAAATATCTTAATAGTATATAGTTAATTTAAATGTGGTTATTTTAACTCAATCAGCCCTTATTAATTTATTTTATTGATTACAATAGATAAACCAATAATTTATTAAAACAGTAATTATTATTTATTTGTGACTTTTTCTACCGTACATCATTTCAGATATTCTTCATTCAAGGATTCCTATTTGATTATGTGGTTCCAGCCATTCGACGCTTCAGAGGACCTATTCATAAATTCGAAAAGTTACAACTTCAAATGGCTTCGAATAAAAAATGGCCACCAGTTAGTCATTATGAAACAACTTTTCTCAGAGGTTAGTTTTTACTCGTAGATTGAGGACTAACGAAAATTTTAAAAGCTTTTGTTCGTTATTTGGTAGAGGATTGAGTAAAAACTAATTCGAAAAGACTATCATTATCTGTACTCATATTTTCTTATTACTATAAAAATGGTAGTGTTAATATGATTCTTGTATAACATGAAAAGTTCGAAACATTTATTCGGTTCTAAAGCAGAAAGCATAGAGGGTGCCCCGCAAATTCTATAACTACCCTCTTACTCTTCAAACCGCTTTATCTATGAGCATAGAATTGGATTAGACTAAAATGATTGTATTAACAAATTAGATTATCTTCAGGGCTTTTTTGTGAAAACTTAGAGCTCAGCCTTAGTGTCTGAAAAGCGGTGCAAAGTTAGAAGAAAGTTGTCAAATTAATGTCTTCGTCGAATTAATAGGAATTTTGTATGTACTTATATATTTTATATGATGTAATTAATATTAATATGACACTTATAAACGTTAATGATGATCAAAAAAACTCATAACACATGTTTCTTTGTTCGTGACTTCGTGCAATGTTACGTAATAGAATAATTGTTTCAGCAATAATGTCCCTAAGCTATCTGTTTATACTAAGTCAATGATGCTCTAAAACTTTGCATTGATCTCTTTTCTACTTTTTGTATGGACTCAAGCTTTATAATTTTACAATAGGTGGGAAGTGATTTTGATTAAACTCACCATTCTATTGCAAAAAGGGCGAATAGTTGATTATAGCAAATGATGAGTATTCAAATAGCAACTTTTAATCTAATTATGTCATTTGATTAGTAAGAATCACTAGACATTTATAGCTCGAGTGAATAAAAAGAAGAAACATAAATTTGAAGTTAATTTCAAAAAGCGTTAGCTTGATAACTACAACATCTTTTAAATTTAGTGTAGTTTTCAGGTTAGATGCGGTTACTAATCCAGAAAAAAAAATCCGCTTTTATGAAAAACAAGGTAATAGTTTTTTAAACTATATGTTTCCTTTTCTTGGTATATAAATAAACTGGTATCGAAAGGTTTATTTCTTCTAAATGAATTGTAAAATAATAATAATTATAATAATCTTGTCTTGTATTGTCAGATGAATTTGGCGATGACGAAATAGATGCTTGCGTCACTAGAAGTTCAATCAAGCGTTTGCAGTTACGTAGACAAAGCAGTGATATACGGAATTCCGTGAGAGTGGGTCTGAAATTATCAAAGTCGGAATCTATTGATGAACGAGCCGAAGAAACAGTTGCTTTTGTTACTTTCAAAGAAGGAAGGTCCAACACATTTCAAACTGGAACTTCAATCAGCAATGAGCAGAATTTTGTATGAAAACATACGCAAAAAAGAAGCCAATAGGTGCGTTTCGAAAAAAAAATCTGTTGGAGGTCCTCCAAGCACTCCAACTTATGAGTTTATATACTGTACATTATATGAACTCACGAGTTTGAATGGTTGGAGGTGATCTCTAACAGATCTATTTTACCACAGCACTGAATGGGTTTCAAGGTTGGTTTTTTAAGTGTTCCTTCCAAAGATGGAGAGAGACTGTTGAATTCTCAAACTTTCATTTTGTTATGTAAATTATTTTACGTTGCATTTATAAAGTACATATGTTGTTTACGAATTATTTTATAAGAAAAATATTCATTTAGATACCATCATTAATGTTCAATGATTTCATTGGTATTGATAGTAAAAAATATTATTTTTTATTCACTATTCATTTCTTAGAGTAATAATTCTCAAATCCTCGCATTTTAAAATAATACCGTCATACTTTAATTTGTTAAGAAAAATGGTGATCATTGTAATGTTCACAGCAGAAAACACGGATCACCCTTAATAAATTTTTATATGACAATCGAATTTTAACGTACTAGCTTGCAAATTAAATTGTTCAATAGGTAGCTCTTAAATGTGCTAATTAATTTGTATAAATGATGTTTTAAGTCAGGAAATCAACGACAGATACCATCTACCTTTTTTGACCTGTGTGGATGTCTAACCTTCAAAATTTGGGGGATTGCGCAAGCCGGAAAATATGATCCTCAATAGTTTGCAAAGTAAAACAAATTTTATACGTACTTTTTTTAAAAATTTGAATACTCGGGAACTATTCGGAAGTTCTTTCAAACTTTGTACTTTGTGATTTAAAATTACATTCTTTAAAAATTATGTAAAATATGCATTCTTTACATTTCAAATTCTTTTCAACTACTATTAAATAAATTAATAAAAAATATTAAATAATTACTAATATTTCCTTTCACACGAAATTATTTTTGGATAAATGAATTTTATGATTGTTGACAAAATACATTCGATTCGCTTAAGAATCTCTCAAGCTTTATTTTTTGACGAATTTAAATTTTTGACCTTCAAAATATGAGGGTTAGATCAGAGGTATCGACAATTAAGAAATATATTCCAAATCAAAATCATTTCATAACTGCATTTATTTTATTGCTGTTAAAAAAACTACGGAAACACTTTAATTATCCAATTAAAAATAATCAAAAGACAAGAAATAGGATACTGATACAAAGGATACTGGCTAGTCACAAAAAGGAGTAACTTTTTTTCCTAGATTTTAAAAATATCTACAAAATTGAATCTGTACTCTTGTTGTACATTTAATTTTTGCTCGTTCTAAGGAAAAATGTTTATAAATTACATAGAAAGATATATTTATAAATTATGAATATATTTTACTAGATAAAAAACATTTATAAATTATAAGCATATTTTTTTAGATAAAGAATATTTTTAAATGATAAATATATTTTACTATCTAAAAATATAAATAAATTATATGGAAAATAATTGTATGCTGATTATATAGGAAATAATTATATGCTAACTATATAGGAAAAATTTAAGTTTAACTTATTTAAAACTGTAACTTGCTACAATATTGCTGTTAAAACAAGCAGGGCAAGGATAATTGTTATTATCATTTTTCTCACTACTAGTAATTTCCTACTTTAAATTCAAAGATGTGAGACAGTAATGATGAATAGAAGCATAAATTTAATCTTATTTCCAAGTGTAGTTTGTTGTTGCTATTGCCATTGAAATGAACTCCGAAAATGAGTTTTAAAATTAATTGCATGTTATTCTTTTACAAAGACAGCTTCATAATTCAAATTAATTACGTGTGGAATAGTATTTGAGACACTATTCCCAAACCATTGTTACTATTTTATAACTGATATAGATTTCTCGAATAAGTAATCAAAAAAAAATTTTAATGCTTAGATATTTTATCAAAATTATGTATTTTATTACCAGCTGTATGTAATGAGATTTAGATTATATATTTTGCCAAATGACTGCTTGTTAATATTTGATGAAATAAAAAAAAAATCATTTCTTTCGTATTGTTTTATTTTTTAGTGTTTTATTTTAGTCTCCTCTCATTTCTTATGCAGAAAAAAACTCTGCAAAAATAAGTTCAAATATGTGTTTCAATATGCAAACATATTTAGAAAAAAAAACTGTTTCAAGTATTTCAACTTACTTCCTATCGAGCGTGGTGGCTCAGGGGATAGAGAGCTTGCCTCGCGTATTCAAATCCCAGCGATGGATGTCGATACGAAATCCGCACCCCAACGACGAAACTGCTGATATAAAATATCCTCAGTGGTAGACGGATTATGGGTTGGAGTCTCATCGCAGCCAAGCTACGATTAAAGTGTTTCAAAATTTCATTATTATTGTTCTTACAATGTTACTAGCGCAAACGCGAGTTAGTTCCATCACAAAGTCCTCCACAAAGGTAAATTTCACCCAATACTTGATCCAGGAGTTCCCTTGTCTTCTAGATTGGGTTCAAAATTACAAGGCTACGGAGTTGAACATTGGTAGTCGTAAACCCAAAATTGGGTCAGCTGTTCAACGATGGTTATAAGATAAAATTAAATAAATCAAAGACCGTGGTGTTTCAGTGGATAGAACCCTCGCCTCCTAATGAGATGAATCAGATTCGAATCCCAATGACGGCTGGTTGATTCGAATTCCGCACCCGGCTCGCTCTGACCACGGTGCTGGGGTAAAGTATCCTCAGTGGTAGACGGTTCAAGGATTAGAGCCTCCTTGCCGCAAAGCTAATCGTGGAAGGTTTTCATGGTTTTCCTATCTGTGTAACACAAAATCGGGTTAGTTCCAACAAAAAGTCCACCATGAAAGCAAATGTCTCCCAATGCTTGATACAATCTTTTATTTCAAATGACTAATGTTTTTTAACTCACTTCATTTAAATATTACAATCGGTAAATAGCTGCTTTTTCTGAAACTTTTATGAGACCATAACATTTTATGCGAGAGTAATTTAAATTTTAACTTGAACAAAGAAGTTTTTGAAATCTTTAATTTGAACAAAGAAGCTTAAATAAGATTAAGTTCCTATAAAAATTCACACTCAAATTTCAAGATCTTTAGATAATCAGAAGAAACTTTCTCTGAGTGAAATCAAAAGTTTTGTTACCATTTCTCTTTTGAATGTTACCATACCATAACACTGAAACTATACTGGAAATAGTGGAGCATCTTTAAATGATACAATAATGGTTAGTTAATACATTTAGAAAAATAATACAATTCAAAACTACCTTTAAATAACTCTTAAAATTGATAATTGTATTGCAATATGTTTTACGCATGATTTTGTAGGAAATATAAACAAGTAAATTAAGCATTCACCAAGAAATGTTATAAAATATATCATAAAGTTTTGATATCAAAACTTCTTTATGGTTTGATAAACGATGGACGATTTTTTTATGGATTTTTAGGTAGTGAAAAAGAATAGTTTATTTGTTTATGACTTCTTATATACAAAACATGAGATTGAAGCAATTACAATATCTGCGAGAAAGCACTTCATCTACTTTTCTTTCTAAAGGTTAAAGTTTAATTAAAATTGGTGGTAGATCCAGTTACTATTATGCTTCGCTTACAATTTTGAAATTATTTTCTTGCAGTATTTCTGCTAGTTACTTTTTCTTGATAATCTTTTAAAAGTTTTTAAATTTGTATTTTTCATATTAAGTTTTCAATTTTTTAATTTAAGGGATATTATCTAAACAACAAATTATCTTCTCACATTTTTAGTCATTGAAAAAATATTAGCTTTTTTCAATAGATTACACGTTTTAGAAATTTTATTTGGAGAGTGAAATACAGTCCGCAGAAAGTATACACCCTGAATAACTCTTTCGTTCTAGTGATTGGATTTTCACGTATTAGGGCTCAATATTTAGGTATCTAACTAATAAGAAAACATTATTTTTAGCAAAATTTTCGAAATTGGATAATTACACTTCGAGAAGAAGAAGAAAAAGAAAATCGCGGATACCCACACATCTGACCTACGACATCAGCGCCAGCTGATCGTTTATCGGCAAAATGGCGTGTTAAAGTTGAGCTAAGTTACTCCACATAAGTTAGAATGTTAATTAATTAACGTGAAATTAATTTAATACAGAGCCATACCGCACATATAATTTGTTGAAATATAATTCTTTCTCGTCTACGTCTTTTACTTAACTTAAATTTATTATTTGTTTATGCATTTTATTTTTTTTGTGATATATTTTTGTTTCGTGTTCCTGGCAACTGCTGTGCGTGATTAGTTTGTTTATGTTCTACATGGCTTCTTGCCTGCCTTCGTGTTAAGTAAGAAATCTATAGAGAAAAAATTAAAATCTTTGTGAAAGAATATAGAATGTGTCACTTAAGTGAACTGATACTTGATGGGATTGGCTTACTCGTTATAAAATGGAAAAAACAGTTGCTAACGTATACAAATGCCATGTTTTATGATCAAGATACCCACACTGCGTTACTTGCAGGTATCCGATTGAGTTTATAATAAATTTAGAATCCATGTACTCTTAATCTTCAAAAAATACTTTAGTTTTGTTTGTACTTCAATTATTTACAATGTTACTGCAGTTTTTGTGCAAGGTAATAACAGAGAATAGACTAATGATTTTAAAAGTTTTAAAATGCGTTTATCTCATAATCAAATTTCTTCTCATTTTACACCACCTTAAGCACGATATCTCCACAATGTCTCCTGTTGTTTTTGAAATAATTGTCTGCAATTTTTATATATAATAGCGCGACTATAACAAAAATCTTTTGAACTACAAACTGAGAGAAAAATGTAGAATTTTATTTTTATGCGTGTGTTTTAAGATAATAGTTCACTTGCTTTTAAGATAATAGTTCAGGGTTTTTTCAGGTAATAGCAATTTTTTACAGTGTTAAGCATATATGAAAAAAAAGCCTTATTTTTGCCTTAAAATGGCCATATAAAGAGAAGATAAAAATAATACTGATACATTTTTTTGCTAGTTTTATAAGTTTTTACACATAATAAAGAAAAATAAACTAGTTTTTAAAATTTTATATTAATATTTAAAAAAAGAGGTTGTCGGTATTGTTGTCTAAATGGTTTAAAGGGCCTAACTTCAAATTTCCTAATTGATTAGTGCACAGGAAATTTCAGGCTACGAATGATACAAGAACATACTTTTTCTAAATAAATCTTTCTTTTTTCATTGAATTCCGATTCTTTTATCTCAAATCATGGGGGGTAGTAGAAATCTGGGAAATATGATTCCAATAGTTAAGGCCAGAGAGAGGAAAAATAGGGGTAATAATATTAGCTCATTAAACTATAATATGATGTATGTTTGCTGCAACCTCACAAGGGGAAAAAAATTCTGGTAAAATAACAGTACGGTATTGTATTGACATTTCAGGTAAAAAAAAAAAACTTACTTTTGGTTAAAGTTATTAAATCCATATAATAAATATTTAATAAGGTATTTAATCCAAAACAATAAAGTATTTAATCCAATCATTTAGTAATTTTTTAGTTCATATGGTAATAAGTTAAAGGAATTTTGATTTTCAAAATGATAGTTCTTATTACCACGCATTTAGTAAAAAATACAAAACTGAAACTTAAATTTAATCGAATAAATTGTTTTTACACCATGTTCTAAGATATCACAGTAAAGTTAACAAATGCTACTGCATTTATCAAATTTTGTTACAAATTATAAAACAATATTTTATTGTTAATTTTACCAAACTT